CCCATGATGCTGCTGATAATATCGATAATGATGTTGTTATTACAAACGCCCCCCACCCAACACCTTTCCCCCACAGATACCATTGATGCTAATGACAATTGCTCTAATGACTATGTCGCTGCCTGCAGCTGATGGTCGGAGTGTTACGCGTAGAGGTGGATGGGGGGCCTTGTGGCTTGTTTATGGTATTCATTATGCAAGAAATCAACAATATCAATGGATTATGAATATGCCAGACTTGTGCCGCAATGCGTAATTAATATGTAAATATGCATATAAGCTCGCAAGAGCTTTCAACGCACACTAAATTATTAATATGTTGCTTTGCTGAAGAGTTTGCGGTTTTCTACAACCTTCCAACAACGTAGCAAGAAACTATTCTCGCTCCCATGCTCTCAACAAACTGGAGGTGTGCGCGTGCATTAAAAATTTGTCTCACTTAATCGCGAATGGTAAGTACAATTGCGTGATTCCGTACATAAATCTTCGCCTGTTTAAAAAGTTGATGAAACAAAATTTAATTTATCAACTCCTGATGCTCCTGACACTGCCAACAATACATACATATGTCATATCTGTAAAATATATCTTTGCATTGCACTTTCTGGAATAACTTAATAGCACAAAAGAACGGAGATTGAGTTCATAAATACTATCATTTTATTTGCGACCCATTTTAGAGTTAAATTTTGAGTTCTACAATATGATTTCAAAATCCAGTTCCAGCGCTTAACATTCTTTCTCCTATACTTAATTCTACTTCATTAATAGATTGAGTGTCAAATATTCTATGGTTCTTAAATGTCATATAAAAAGAGAGTCTTATACCTTGAAGACAGTTTTGATATTTGAAAATCAGCATCACTCGATAAGCAATGTTTTTTTTTTGCAAAAATAACAAGCTCAAAAAAATCATAAATTTTCCATAAAGAATCTCTTCTTTCTATATCTGGAAGCCTTTCGTAACTTGCATATTTGATTCTTAACATCATTTTATATCCTTTGTGCGGCTCTGGAAAATGTACACTGCGTAGAAAGCCGTGGAAAGTGTTAACAAAATACAGTATATGCGTCATTTAAAAATAATAATTTCTTTTACCATTCATAAATTTAAATAGCAGCATAACCGATTTAACCAAAAATTTGCTAATCATTTTTTTCATTAGATTTTTTTTGGGAAAAAAATCACAATTTTTTTATTTGTTTTAATCTTTAATACAAATCTACGCAGTTAGTGAATTCACAGACAGCAAAAAGCGATAATAACAATAAGCGGATGAGAAAGCACCTAAAAATCAATTCACACTATTTCAGGTAAGTCTCAAAATTGTATGGAATTGAGAGCACAGCTGATAATAAATTGATTAATATTTGGAACATATTATCGCCATTTAGCAGGTTTGTTTATAATTGTCTGTCAATTCTATCTTCTCTAAAATGACTCCAATTAGATTATATACTCTAAAAGCTTGGTTTTTATCCATAGCTTCTTTTCAGAAAAACCATATTGAAAATATTTGCTTGGAGGTTAAAGCCTTAAATTTCCTGGATTAGACCAATTATTATTTCGTGACAATTTTTCTGTCACGTGCACATATTTGCACTGAGCTTTTGTCATCAGAAGTGTAATTAAAAATGTGCGAGCAAACAATTGAGCTGCCACAAAATGAATGTCAAAGGCAATACAATGAAATACCGCAGCCGTTGTCACACACATACACACACACACACACACACATACAAATATAACCACACACTAACCGAGCCAACTACACAATACACACACAGTACATGAACGAACCATACACTCAACTATTCTAACAAAACGCTCATCAATGCATTTGTGTTTAAATGTGAGTGCCAAGATCCTTGATACGACATGGTTGCTGTCGCCCTGCCTCTGCGCCAACATTTGTTGCATAGTTTTGATTCAGATACATGCTAAAAGCATGCCACAATTTCGGGACTTGTAAATGGACTAACTGAATGTGACCCTTTGCTGGCTAATCTCTCATCTATTAAATTACAAGTATTGTACATGTGTAGTTAATATGTATTTTATTTGGTATATTAATATGCATAATTTTTTCAATTAAATGGAAATAAGAATAAATAATCAGCATGACGGGACGCATAATACTAGCTATAAATGTATAGAAGACTATCCATGCTATCGAACAGTCTCTATCTACATTATTATGTACATAAGTCTTAAAAATAGAACCTTTTTACAAGCACATTGGATCAGAGCACTATAACAAATACATAATTATCACAGAGAAAATATACTGCACATATACTTAGATATAATATAGTTTATATTTGTTAGTTTTTCAATAATATTTAAGAATGTTAAAAACGTTGCTCTATATTGCTTTATGCGGATTTTTTGATTGAGATAAAAGAATATTTCTCCTCCAAATTTGAAAAGGGAATACATTTTTTTTGTGAATAAATAAATAAATAGTGAAAGTCAAGGAAGAAAGCAATGAATATATACTCGTATGTACATGTATAAATGTATGTATATGAACTCAAACCTAAAAGTAATATATTGGCCTAAGAACTACCAAGCTAGAACTAGATAGATAGATAACAGGGCTTGTGCAAATGCTTCTAACAAGTGGAAGTCAGCATTTTTAAAGTAAATATATTTTGGCACATGGCGGCATGGTATTTCATCCGTCTGTCTGAATGAACGCCTGGTTTTTGGAAATGATGACAAAACTTAATACGTATACGCTTCTAATCCCAAGGCCAAATGATTTTATTTTATAAAATGTAGAAGTTGTCAAGCCTTTAAGTTAATTTTTTTACTTTATAAACTATTATACGCTTTCGCACAACAACACACTATTCGCTAATAGCGATAAGTGATAAGCATGGTGCATTGGAAAAAAACCAACTTCACATTCCTCGAACTAATGAGAATCTACAAGTAAAAACCAAGTTTATTTCAGCTCCTATAGTTCCGTGCGGCTATACAGGCGGAGGGGCAGTTGAATAGACAGACAGACTAACTTGGTTTGTAGCGATATTAATTGGCTTGTTGGTGGCCAAGATTTTTGGGCACCTAATTGTTTTTGATAAATGAAATATGAAAAATTTAAAAAGTTTATAAGGTTGACAAACCAAACAATAACAATTCATAAAATTCATAAATTTTTTGTGAAATGTGCTCTTGGAGCAATTAAAAAATCTTGGAGTAAGCACGAGCCGCAAAATTTCACACCTATTATATTTTTGGAAGCTAATTAAACTGACCTTTGTGGCGCAGAACAGCGCCAGCGAATAAATTCTTTAATTAACATTTAAACGGGCACAAAAACTTGGCGCGCCAGTAACAAAAAAAATGCCAACAACAAACAAAATATGCAAACAAGAAAACTGAAGAAAAAAACCTGCTGGAAATTAAAAGCAATTTAACAAGTGCGAGCCCAAAGGGCAATGGCAGGAGAGGAGGCATCGCAATTCTCTGCTACAATTCAAAATTTTATTCAAGCTTCAGTCGGTCGATGAGGACGAGGGCGAGAATGGTGGTGGGCCCGTACCCTAACTACGAGGCTTGTTAGGGAGCCTAGTGGATAACGACAGGCGTCTGGCAAGCGTTAAATTGTATACATTTAACTAAAGCCATAAAAAAAGCATGCGATGCATAAAATGACGAACTGCAGCAAAAGCAGCAGGAGATGGTGACGGTGACGGTGATGGAGATGGAAATGGAGATGAAGGAGCAGAGAGTGGGACAACAAATGTAAAAATTGCATGCGGAAATGCCATTTTCAAAGACTACAAAGCCGCCCCTGCCCGCTCCCTTGCTCACTCATTGCCCCAACACACACAATGCAAAGTAGTGGAGGGCACTATAATGAAATGTGTCGGACAGAACAAATAAAAAAGTGACGGCCAGTCTGCCAAAAACGCTGGCAGGCAAATAAATAGTTACGTTCACATTTCGTGGGAAAGCCGAGTAGTGCTTTCAACTCTTTTGCTCCGAAAGCAAAGCAAAGCGCCGCGAAATGAAATAGAATGAATGCGAGTGTGAGTGCGAGTTCCAGCGAGAAATGTGAAAAATTAAATAGCATAAAAACTTAATGTGCTGCCGAAATTCGTGGAACTCTGCTGGCTGACTGGCTAGTAGGGAGGTTGCTTGCCACGGTCGTATAATTTTAAGCATTGACATTTGCGGTTGCAAGTCATTATTTGCCGCCAGTAGCAGTACGAGTAGTAGACGCAATAAGTGTGTCTGTTCGTGTTTGTGCGAACTACCCTTTTTTCCTGAACATTCCTCTGCTCTCTTTTTTTTTTTGGCAGAGCTCTGCTTCTCACTTCCGCTTTGGCAACTTCCGCAATTTTACTTTGAATTATAGCCAAGCGTATTAATTTAAATGTCGACAAAGCCGCATAGAAAAATAAATACCGAAAAAATATGGCTTAAAAGAGAATTGTTAAAAAATACCGAATGCATTGTGCAGCGATGATGTCTTTGCTGGCCCAACTACTTCACCCCCTTAATGCCCCTCCCCCTCCCCCACCCAATGCTGCTCTTTATTTTGTTCTGTGTTGTGTTTGATTAAAATTATGCTTTGCGCCTTTAGTTTTCACAGTCGCACTTCTCGCACTACTCATACTCTTCACTCCTTTGTGCGAAAGCCGCCGCCGCACACACTTCAATGTGCCTTTGTGGATTTTTAATTAATGCCCGGATCGTTGCTGTTTCAAGACTTAAGGCCGCATAGCTTATGCCTCTAGCCATATGGACAGCAAACCAAAAAAAAAAGAAAAACGAAACAAGAACAGAAATGAGAAAAAATATAATAAAAATGTTTGCTTGTATTATTGCAATGTGTTTTTTGTATTGGTCGCAAAATCTATTGCCCCATGCGGTTGCCTGTGAATATATTTGTGAGTGCCTGTGTGTGTGTGTGTGTGTGTAGAATATTTCCAAATGAGCAAGCTCAGTAATGAAAATTTATGTACAAAATTTAATTAAAACATACCTCAGGCTGCGTTTCGCCATGCACGATACAAACCAGCATGGCCTCGTGCCCTTCACCCGAGAAGACAACGGGACGCTCCACGGAGATTTCCGGCGGATCTGTATGTGAAAGTGTGTGGGCGTGTATATGCGGAGTAAAAATGTAAAGAAATTAGTTAATAACATGACAGGGTCATGGACGAGAAAGTAGTATTGATGGCGGGGGGTTCTGGGATATAAAAATCAATGTTCTCATAGCCTGCAGGGCTTGTGGGTGGGAAATGAGCCACATAATTACACACCCACACACAAAGCACTTTTAAAGCAACTTTTATCGAAATTACATATAAATTTTAAATAAATGTCAGAATTTCTGATGGCGCATAAAGCACTTCAATAATTGAGCACCAACTTCAGGCATCGGTTGCTAACAATAAATGTCAGTAAATGAAATAAAAGTTGCGCTCTATGATGTGCATGTGCGCGTGGATGTGGATGTGGATGGCGAGGGTGATGGTATGTTGACGGTATGGGCGATATGCCTGCCACGATGTTACAAGAATGTGGCACACACACATACTCGCACACACACACACACACACTCTGACAGTCGATTGCATGCGCCAGCGAACGCGTTAAAAGTCAATACAACATTGAAAGCGAAATGTGGCTGCAGGATTGGACAACCGAAATCAGTTTTGACGTGAAATTGAAATGTCTGACTCGAGCAGCTCCAAAAGTAGTTGATCCAAAATTAATTTGTTTGATACTCGAATTTTGCCGGACAGTGTGACATATCGCCCATACAGGTACATAAAAATGCATACTTATTTTTTCGTCATACAAAATCACATGAATTTATCAAAAAAATAATTTGAAATGTTGTACAATTTGAATTTGCAAATGTGTATGTGTTTTGAATTGTGATTTATTTAAATAAAGCTGACACGAATTTGATTATTGTTTTTTGATTACTTTTGGTGTATACTGTTTTTTAATCGAATATTCATTTCTTTTGGGTGCGTCATACAAGTATGCCAAGCATACATGTTCTGCGTCATTTGAAAACTGTTGTGCCTGCTAGTGATTAGCTTAATGTACTTCGCAACTGTAGAATGATTTATGTCTTAATCAATTAGTAATAGATTTATGAAAATGTTTTACTAAATTTGCAATTGGTTTGTGATTTTTAAAGAACTTTGTGTTTGAAAAATCTGGTTTTTTTTCATTAACTCATAAGTAATTCACCATGAATCAGAGACCATGGGACAATGTTTATTTTGCAATCTATGGGTAGGAATAATGTACGACCCAATTATGAAAACAAAACTAATTTTAGCACACATTATTGCCAATATTGTTTACTGTATGAGTGTTTGAATGCGTGTGTAGGGGTGTGTGTGCGTGTGTGTGAAGAAGTGTTGGGGCTGATACGAGTAGACCGTAGAAGTATACTTACATAGAACGTGCAGGACAACCTGACTGGACGCCGGCTGACCGACGCCATTGTTGGCCGTGCATATGTAGACGCCGCCCTTATGGCGATCAACATTCTCAATTGATAGGACGTGTGAGTGTAGCTTCTCCTCGCCTGTAAGCAGCAAAAGATTGGGGCATGAAAAATGCAAGTTAATAAAAGAAAATAGTGGTTGGCAACCACGGCGCTAAGCGGGCGGGCGGACGGGTGAGCAGACGTCGAAGTGACAGAGCCAATTACGGGTTCTCAACACAGGGTCGCGCGTGGCTTCGATTGCTTCGACTTTGACTTTAGCCTGGGCTGAGGCACACCTACACACTCACACACGCATTTATATATTTGTACTTATAGATGGTCTATGTACGAGTATATATGTGTGTGTGTGGTGTGCTGTTGCCTCACTGCGCATTATATTTAATAATAAAGGAGCGTAAAACGACAAGGGCGCACAAGCGAAAGCAGCAGCAGCAGCAAAAATAATTTCCTTGACTTTTTATTTTTATGGAAATTGCTTAAAGTTTCTTTATATATTCATTTGCTTTTGTGCTTTTTTGCCTTTCAGTTGGTGGGTGGGCGATTGTTTGTGTGTCTGTATGTTTGTATGGTTGTGTCCTGGCTCTTCTTTGTTCTTCTGACTGCTGCTACAGTTCGTGCTGGGATCGCTGCTTGTTTTTCTTTATACTTTTAATTTGCTTCGACCATGGCATGGCCCTTTCGCTTGCTCGCACTTTCGTTTTGCTGGGCAGTGGTCGCTGGTCACTGGTCGCCGGCCGCTGGTCGCCTATTTATGCAAAATCTTACCATTGGGCAAAATATTATTTTTGCGGCTCCAAGTCACATTTGGCGTTGGATTACCAGAGGCCGAGCACTCAATGCGCACTGATGAACCTTTTTTGACTTGCAAATGTCCGCCGGTGCTAATGTGATGAATCCTTGGTGGCACTGGAAAGGGCACATGGCCAAATAAACAGAAAACACATTAGAAAATAGACAACAGCAGCAACAACAATAACAACGTTACAAACATAAGACTACAGCAACACCACCAACTGGAACTGGGCAACAAGACGGCAATCATGACAACAACAAGAACAGTAACAGCAATAACAACAACAACAACAACAACGGTATGTCAAAAATGGCAGCTTTGGTCGACGAGGTAGAGGTCGTGGTCGTTCTGGCGGTCGAGTGTCCGGGCCCTCCACGCCATGTTTAAATAAATGCAAAATTGAGGAACCGGCTCCTTGCCATCACAAGTCAGAGACGGCAACGGATGTGGGGACGAGGACGGCGAGGACGACACCAAACAATTTGAATAAATATGCGCACGAATGCAAATTGAATAAGAGAAAATGGCGTTTACGCGTCTCTTGCGCTATGAGTGTGTCGGTGGTGTGCGTGTGTGTGTGTGTGTGTGTGTTTGCCTTGTTTGCCATGTGCGAGCGGCGTGGCTGCGGCGTCCTGTGTGGTGGGCTATTTGTTGCCTGGTGGCGCGTAGTTTGATTTAATTCCGGCAGCCTCTCACTCGATGTGGGGCTGTGCGGCCTGCTATTTATTTATATTTGCGGCAGCATTATTTTACAGCTGTTAAAAATTATATCTGTGTGCGTGTGCTGGCAAAATCAAGGACAACGCAATGCCTTCATTCTATTTTATTAGCATTTCTTATGCATTATTATATTTTTTTCTGTCATTCCTCGAATCGTAGCTCTTGTTGTTGTTGTTGCTGTTGCTATTTTTGGGGCATAGTAAAATGGCAGTTGTTATTGTGATTGTTGCTGGACGTTAGGCTTAGGCAGGGGCTCGTTCTTGGGTTGTGGCCTGGGATTTGGACTTTGCCTTGGCTTTACTTCTGTGGGTTGTTTTGTTTGTTTGCTTGTCTTTTTTCCCTGCTTTTGTTTTATTTTTGGGCTTTCGGCGATTTCTTGATTTTGTCAAGTCACTCTCGGGAGCGCAGTCGGGGACAAATAAAAAAAAGACGGTAACACAACGCAACGCAACGCAATGTACTTAAATTAAGTGGCCAATCATACAAAAAGAAAACGTGAAACGTCAGAAGCGATTCTGTGCGGTCGAAAGGAATTTAAGTTGTGCAGTTAAAGTAGACAAGAAGGACCAACAAAATATGTGAGCAAGTTGGACCTGTGGAACAAGTAATGATTTCTCAGAGACTCCTGTACAAGAGGGCTAATTTAGAGCTTGCGGGTAGTTGATTTATTGTTTGTTAATGGAAACGAGGGAATGACGTCTGCATATTACAATTTTATTAGTTGGACAATCAATTTGTTAATAAATAAACTTCATTATTAATAAGTTAAATCATTATAATAACTAATAATTATATTAGTTAGTAAATATAAATAGTTTTTCATACGAGTGTGCTTTTCTTAGGAAAACAAGGAAAATGTTGGTAGCTTGTGTCGAACTATTATGCTATTTCTCCGCCTATAAGAAGAGCATTGAGTCCAATTTAGGCTACAAAGCACAACAAGAACAAATTTATTACAATTAAGTGATTAAAGATTATTCAAAGAAAGTGGAAAGTCAAATGACTGAACATTTTTCAAAGGTACCGCAACGCCTCCATTAAATCGTATGTGCTTTTGTTAAATTTCCAACGTTGCGTATGAGCAATATGCTTATAAATCAACCTCACAATATAAAGGAATTCGGATGAATCTGGCTTGCCAATTGTAAATTGGAAAAATAAAAACATTCTCATTCGTCTGGGCATTTAGATATACCCGACGATCTTCATCTGGATTAGACTGCCACCCCCAAGTACGAGTATGCAACAAAAACTCGCATCCAATTACAATTTGGAAGTGCATATCGTAAAGCCGCATTTGTGTTGCCAAATAACAATATTATTGATGCAATTTTTTGTTCAAAACATATCAGATTTCCATCCACAATACACTTGTGTGCATGTCCATATTCTATGCTCTCTGGCCAAAACAAATACGCAAGGGCAACAAGGATAAGCAGCGGTGGCAGAAGATTCCTTTGCCACTGATGGATATTTGCATTTGAAAGAAAATTACAATTGATCACTGAGGGCGCACAAATAACGGTACACAGCGTAGGACGGACGAACATAGAGGGGACAAAGAGACATAAATACAATAAGCGCGCTGAAATACACATACCCGTATATATATACAAGTAGATATGTGTAAGTACAAATACGTACATGGAAATGTCTGTGTTGGCAGCCACGAAATATGCATTAGACTATAATAAATCATGTGGCCCACAGGCAAAAGTAGAGCACACACACACGCATGGAAGCAATACATACACAAATACACACATACGTATGCAGTACACGCGATGAAAGCGAAAAGCCAGTCGGCAACGAACTTGCAATAAAGTTGTATGCAGATACTGAAGGCAGTCCGCAGACGAGAAGGATAGTCAGTCAGGCGTTTGAAGTACTGCCGAAATATTTTCAATAATTTCACGCTTTGGTGCGAGCTTATGCCATCCATTGATGTCGCAGCATATTGAATACAATAAATATCATGGCTATAAAGGCATTTGCTGTAAAGAATTTTTTAATACACTGCGACCACGACGACAACGTTGGCGATGATGATGACAACGCCAACGACGACGACAACGACGACGACTGGCAGTGGAAATTGATTTTGACTTGATGGCTTATGCGGATTGTCTGTGCTTGCGTATTTACGGATGTCTATGTATGTGTGTGTGTGTACGTGTGTGTATCGGCTTATGTGTGTGGTACATGGATCTCGGCATGTAATGTCATGCAGATGACGACTAATGCTCTGGTCATGTCAGCTGTTCGAGGGTGGTGGGCAGGATGTGCCACCAATAGAGTTCTGCTTGCGGCGAGCCAACAAAAATTTTAATAAGAAGCGATTTCGCAGCCGACTTGCCAGCAATAGAGGCTACATAAGTAGCAGTAGCAGTAGTTGTAGTAGCAGCAGTGGCAATAGCAGTAGAAGTTGCTGATTGCCAGCAGGCATCTGTGGCATTGACTGTGCTGCTGCTGTGGTTATGTGGCCGGTGCTGGACAGCGATTGTTACATATTGATTATTCGGCTTCTTTGGCTATATAGCCGATGCGCAAACTTGTAGTTTGGTTGAGATTTTGGTTTGTGGCATTAAAAGTTGCCACACATCACAAACATACATGCGCACATGCCAGAGACGCATTGATATAATGCGGATAGCTGCCACAAAGCCTAAACTTTAAATGCAATATTGTTTGGCAAAACTTTTGCAAGTTGCTGCATTGGCGCATTAAGTCCGCAGATACAAATTGAAATGAAAGAGTAAACGAGAGTTGTTAGATGGCTTTTTTGTTAAAATATTTACCACTTTTTTTGTTGTTAAGTAATTGACTATCAAATTTCAAATTAAATTTGGTATACATTTGCAAAAAATTGTTTTTTCCTTATTACAGTGTTAAATTGCTTTTAATGATAATACATATTCATTTCAAATATGTTTCATATAACAAATATTTATTTATAAACTGTACATATGCCTACAACTGTAAATGAAAAGGATAAAAATTATTATTATTAAATTATTAATTATTATGTTTGTTCAAGTATTAGCCAGAAATCCTTCAATATTGTGCACAACTTCAAAGTTCATTTTCTAAGTATTTTCTGAGAACTTTAATGGACCTAGCTTACTGCTATGAAAGCAATAAGTTATTAAAAATCAATCAACTGCTAAAGTTTGAATTGAATTTGAACTGTTATTGCCAACAAGACAAGAGGTATGCCATCTTTTTAGTTTCACATTATTACTTTTTTCCCAAGAAACATCTTAAAAAATTCTTCGACTTCATCTACTCAGCTTACGATTGCGTAAATCCGTTTAAATGGTACTTAACTGCTTTGAAAGCAATGTAAGCTGCCTTTTAAGTAGATAAAATTGGCTGACAATTAACGAACTTCCCTCGTGCTTGTGTAGACCAAAAGTTTTGTTTTAAAACTCAAACTAAAGTCAAGTGCTTTGGCATTTGCTTGCATTTAATTGTCTGCTCGCTTGCATGCCTGCAATTTATTTCAAAGTGTGCATTTATAGGTGCATGTGTGCGATTTGGTAATTTGTCTCAAGTAACCCAAGAAAGTTACTGGCCTGGTCTGCTGGAGCCTGGCTTGGTCTGACGCTCCATGAGCAGCATTTGTTTATTATACCACATATGCCATATTATTATGCCGCACTGCCTATAGTTTATTTTCCCTTCACCCTTCCCCGTCTCCTTTGCCTACGTTCATGTGCAGCATCTTTTGTTATTGTTCAAATGTTGTTGTGTCTCCATTGTTATTGTTGTTGCTGGCAATACAGTGCCAACTATTGTAATGCTATAGCCCATAATTAAATGCTTCCTCAGTCCAGTCTCGATGTGTGTACATACAAGTATATACGAGTATGCTCTCTGCTTTGGCGTATTCCGGACATAAATCACAACGCATGGGGCTTCGTTTTCTAAACATGCTATACCACAATAATTATGGTTCCCAGCTCAATAATTTCGTATTTGGCCTTTGTTATTGATACTTTAAGCTGCAGCACCTTGTGCTTTCTTACTGACGAGCAACAATATGGGTGGATGATCGTGTTAAAGGCATTTAATACCCACGAGTATCGGAGTAGTTCTCAATACGGCAGCACAAGTCCTGAGCTTTGTAATTAAACTGTTAATTGTGTGGCTTTTGGGTGGTAGCTGAAGCATCTTCACACGGCAGAAGGTAATTTGATAGCCTGTCACTTGGATGCTGGCTTGTGGTTGCTGCGGGCGCACAACGACAAGAGCAAGGTATTTTGCCACACCAATGCTTGATTACCATGAGTGTCTGTCTTTCGGCGTCTAAAAGCCCCCACAATTTAAATTTAAAGTCACGTGTCTGCCAACAGTTTTGGTTTTGCATACGTGCATAGTATTTTCCCAATGCCCGCGTAAAAAGTGCATTTAAAATCAATAAAATTAAAAAATAGTCAATTGTGCAAATGGCCGCAATGCCGCGGCCACTGAACCAACCACATAGCTTAATGCTTTGCGGTCAGATTTCGGTTGCAATCGTCGGCCTAATGGATGCAGGCAATGAATGCAGGGCAGCTGCTGACCATCAAAAGGGGCTTTTACTAACACACCACGCCCTCACTCACCAACACTCTCACATATGTATTTTTGGAATAAATTCAATGGCCATTGGCAGTCATTCGGCCGTTAAATTAATACATAGAAACGCTTTTAAAGTTCTTCGAAAAAAAAAACGACCCCTAATTGACAATTTCAAGTCTTGCATATTGCAGCAGGCCTTGACACACTTAACCATCAGAGCAAGTTTGCCAATAAGGAAAGCGAGGTGTGCAGTGTGCTTCTGAGCTTGGGAGTACCAGTCGTGGTCAACCATCATTAAAATAAACTAAACAGTAGCCTTCAATATTGTGTTGCTCCCTGACATTAAGTGCAGTACAAAATGTAAACGAAAGGAAAAACAGATATGGAATTTTTCCAAATCAAATAAATATAGTATAACTACGTTTTCTCCTGCCCGTTTTAGTTGTTTTCTACCTTTCCATTCCTTTCTTTAATTAAGTTAGTTTAAGTTAACGTCTTTCCAATTAACAAACACTCGAGAGCCTATAAAAATCTATGACAAGCAATATCATTTTATAACTTTAGCTGTTTTTCCCTTTTTTATTTCTTTTTTTCCAAATTATTTTTTTTGAAGAACTTAACAGAAGAATCATAAATTTAAAGGTCTGCTTATAAACAACCAATTCTTTGTGTGAATGCAACAATTTACAAAACACTAAGTATTAAATAAATAAAAATACAAGCTGTTGGCCATTAAATGATTTTTACTGTACCAGAAGCTTGGGCCAAAAAGAATGCCACGAAAAACGTTTATGTCAAGGACGGTGCAGCAAAAGATGGCTGCTTGTTTCTTTTGGTTGTTTGCTCTTTACTTTTTTGATTATTGTAATTATATTACAACAACACACAGCAAACAACAACACACAGCAAACAACAACACCACAATATTAATGTACAACATTAAAAGATTTGTCAACGGCCAAAGTTTTGCACATTGTTTAGCTGCAGGCACATGGCTACATTTTTTGGCCATCAACATCAGTAGGAATAGAGGGCGACTTGGTTTGGCCATGAACATGGACATGGACATGGACATCGGCTAATGTCTTTGCAAGTGCTGGGCGAACGACAAGTGCAAAACTTTCGGACACAGGCGCACATTATTTTTTCATCTTTAGTGAGCCAAACTGAAAGTAATTTACGCTCGTAAAAGCAGCCCGAGCAAAAATGCCAGAACAAAACTTTATGAAATTTATATACACATGCGTCGGTAGATACGATGAGGACAACAAGAACAACAATGACGATGAGGACACCATTGGGGCGTGGAATGGCAGTCGACGCTCCTCGGGTGTCTGCTGTCGAGCCTATAAAAACTTCAGCAGCGCATTATTTTCGCTCGTTCCTCCTTTGACAACAACTCCAACTGGCCCCGGATACAAAAAAAAAAGAGCGAACCAGAGAAATTTACGTGCGCTGCTGAAGTTCAATAAACGAAATATTTTCTGGCCATGATCATTATTTGGCAAACGGAGCGCATAATAAACACATAAAATAAACAAAACTTTTCAATAATCGACTTTTTTCTCGGTTTTTGTTCGCTCTCCATGTTTGTCTCTTATTTGGCAGCCCTGTCTGCCATTTTATGTTTGTTGTTTGCGGTGTTGAAGCAGCTGAACAGCGAGGACCAAGTTTCAATGACAAATGAAAAAAGTTGTTTGCTCCCGAAAATGTTCTTGTCCCTAAAATAAATACGAATTTTTTACTGGCTTAAGCATGTATATACTTGTATGTGTATGCACAAAATAATATAAGAAATTATGGATAGGAAAACCCCTGTAATAATAATTACAATAAGGAATGGAAGGAACTGTAAGAATACATAATATACTCTCAAAACAAAAACAAAAATGGTGGACAAATCAGAAAGTGTTTCCAGCTAGCCGTTGGCCGAAATGAGCTTTTAATAAAAGTTGTTGTAACAAATAATTAATTAGTCATGAAGAACCACAAACTAAAAGCTTTTCTTTTAAATGCATAGTTTTTTATGATAATTTGTAGAGAACTCTGTTATTTATAGAAATTGCGTCTTTAGACTTTAAATTTAGTTTCATTCAGACTCTTAGCACATGTTTAGACTTCAGTAAATCATAAATACTACAGTATTTTCCTACCTCTATAGAAGTTACATATCACTTAAGCACATCTTTTAGAATGACTAATATTACATTATTGATTATGTTAATCGAAAATTACATTTAATTTGATAGTGATATTTAAAAAAAAAATCTAACATTTTTCTTGGTTATTTGTTTATTCAAGAGTATTCTATGTACCAGCTCTATAATATGAACTTATTTTTTCTAAATGCGAAATTTGGTAATTATAGAGATTACTGGGCATGCTTTCTTACCTTGTAGGTTCAAAACTTTAACTTTAGTGTTTAGCATTTTTCTTTTGAGATCTAATTCGTATGAATAGACATAGCCCATTTACAATTTGCAAATTTTATAAAATAATGTAACCATGATTACTCTGCCAATTCAAGCAGTCTGCGCGTGCATTAAAGCCCAACTTCGATATATTTTTCAATTATTCCTCACGAGTATTTCACGCACAGGCGCAGGATGTAGACACATATAGACACAGACGCCGATAAGCGTAGCGCACTTTAGAGATTTTGGGAATTGTATCGCAATTTGCATGCGGCGCACACAAAAGTTGTGAAAAACGAAATATATATATATATATATATATCTAGCAGGGAAACAAGTATAGAAATGCGAAAGAAAAGTGTTACGGCAATGCAGGCGTTGACGCAATGGATTTTGTGAATGGGTTCGAGTTTGACAGGGCAGTGGGGTTTGTCAGTCACTTTGTCTATCAGTGAGTCAGTTAGGCAGTTAGTCAGACAGTCAGTCAGTCAGTTGTATATGCAAATAAAAGGCAACATTGTAATTGGGGAAATATATGTAAATTATTCATCATTGCTGATTAGAAGCCAAAGACGCACGCCGACCGCATGCAAAGCACAGTAAAGCAAAGCGGAGGCAATGGAAATGGGAAAAACAAAAGAAAACCAAACATGTACAAATGGAACAGAGATAGGGATAGAGGCAAAGGCAAAGGCACAAACAAAGCACATGGCGCAACGCTTGTTAGGCAGTCGGAAGTAGTTGAAGGAACTGAAGGCACCGGCAATTTGCATAGCACGCTTTTAGGCGCTGCGCTGTTGTAGTAAAAATTTTCTTTTTGGCAAATGGGAGATTAGTTTTGATTTTTACACTGCTCTGTACAAAGGAGAGAGAGAAAGAAAAATCCAAAAATTTTCCTTTATCTTCTGTTGGCTATTGAATCTATGCGATAACCATAAAAACCCACGAAATTGCAGCGCTTTCAGTTAGTTTGCATATTTGAGTGGCTGGGCGCATAAAGCTGTAAGGATATGTTAATTCCGCATAGCGAACACAAGAACAACAATACTAGAGGCACGCTCGTGCCTTTAGGTAGCAAATTGATGAAGCCACCACAACAACAACAAGAACAGCAGCAACAACAATGGGCGCAAGTGATTTGTGTGGCGCATAAATTTTTGCGGCAGCCCGTAAAAATCTACGACAGGCAGCCGCCCATTGTCAGCGCATGGCTTCATCAACCATGCCAACAACAGCAGCAAGAGCATCAGTAACGACAACAGTCGATATGTGTAGCATAACTGCTGGCATTTTACCCAACTTTTGCATAACAATGCGCTGCCAAAATGTGCTTTTCCTTTTAAACACCAAAATTTACGAAGCCCCAAGTGACGCTGACTTTGATATACACTACAAAAGGTATGGATGAGGTATTTTGAATGAATTCCAAATGTGATGCTGAAGTATTACAGGAAACAAATAATTTTATTTAAACTTTTATTTAATTATTTACATAAAATTCAAATATAACTAATAAGAAATATAAATAAATAATTTAAAACTAAATACTCCATTGGTTGAATTATCTTTATACAATAAAAATGATAACGGAATGAATTCCAAGTGTAATGCTGAAGTATTACTGGAAACAAAAATTTGGCACCATCATTTTGATTAAAGCATTTTATACCGGAGTGGAGAAGGAGAGGGCGGTGTTATGAAAAATGAACTTGACTTGCAGACTGACGAGAAAGCAAACAGCTCTCAGTCTACACATCCAGCAAAGTAAGAATAAATCAATTATATAGAATATGCTGCTAGATCGACTTGATTTGTGTTTTCTGAGTATTGCTAAGCCTCTTGTTGGATGTTACAAAAAACTTCATACTGGAATGATACCCTACCAGTTTTATTGGGGGTGGCAGACTTTTAAAGGTTGAAAAAATGTTTCCCCCACTTAACGACTTACCCAAAATTTCCACAGTGTGTGTGATTTCGCGTGGCTCCATTGTGGCAATTTGGCAAATATAATCGCCGGCATCCTGCGGCACAGCATCACGTATTTGCAGATTAAAACCGTTGACCAGACGCACGCGCGGATCTGGAGTTACTTTGACAGAGCCGGCAGTTAATATGGCAATTCCACGTTTCCAGGCGACGACATAAGGATCTGCAGAGATAAATAGAGAATATGACTAATGGTTTGAGCTCAAAGTTGCGCGTCTAATTGGTAAGCCGTGGCGAGTGCTTCAAAAAAGATTTCATTTGAAATGAAGCGCAACACACACATACACACAACCAGCAATCCAAAACATGCACAGATACATACACACAGATCAAATAATACATAAATTGAAAAGTCAGAATTCAAATGACTCAATTACAAGGCAATTCAAAAGATCTGAAAGAAAGCTGGAATTCAATTTCGCATTGACTTGCAAGGAGCAAGCCTCCAAGCAGACAGGACAGACGAACAAACGGTGGGAATGGCGGTGGGCAGGCATGTAGACAAGCACTCAGTAACACCCACTTGATATCCGCTAATGTGCGGCATTTGCAATCATACGCCATAGACACGCCAAAGGCAACCGTGCACAATTCAACACCCGTACCATCCAACACTCTCAGCATTCAGAATAACTCGAAGTCCCCAGCTCCCGGTTCCCGCTTTGGACTTCTCTGATGGCAAAGGCAGTCGCAACGTGGGCTTTCAACAGTTTGCAGCAGGGCGCCAGGAAGCTAAAAGCCAGACTGGGAAACCCGTAGTGGTGAGAGACTGCCAGACAGAAGCAGCAGCAGCAGCAGCAGTATCCCTCAATGGGAGCATTCATCGAACTCATTAATTGTGATTCCTTTTTCAATTTTCAATTTATGTCGCGGCTGCGGCTGCTCCCGCCAAAGATGTAAATTTCTGCCCTCCTACATATTCGTATGCGGCAAAAAGCATCCTAGCATATGCGAGTTTTTTTTAGCTCTGCGCTCGCATTCAAGCATATCGGATTTGCTACTAATGATGTATGACTTCCGCTTGTCAGCGCCAAAACGCAGGCAACCAGCATGGCTCATTAAAAATTAAACAATTTTTGGCCCACGCATATAGGGTTTTATTTTTAAACGGCTACGCCGCCTCATTAATATCTGTCCCAATTGGCAAATGATGTAAGAATCGCAACGGGTGTTAAGGGGCCTGAGGTAGCGCAGCAATTGATTTCGCCACGCGCGCACACATACTAACAACGTCAGATTTTGGCACGAACATCAAAAGACCGTTTCCAAAACACACATTGTATAGGGTGCTAAAAATAGTGATCGGCATACCAAATTGTACAGTGAATAAATAGGCAACATTTTTGCATCAGTTTTTTCCAAGTAAATAAGTGCTCTTTAAAATCCGAATAATTTACCGAAACTGTTTCGTTTATTACGAGGATCTGAGCTTGTAAAACAAAAAGTGCTTATTTTCAAATTAAATAGACAACAAATTTTATGAATTTTTTCTATATGAGTACTATTCTTTGAAAACCGATAAATTGACCAAACACTCCGGTGTATTACGAGGACTTCTTTAAAATTTTTTTTTTTTTTTTTAATTAAAAAGGCAACATTTTTACATCAGTTTTTTTTATCTTACAAAAATAATTTATAAATATTGTTCATTGCTTGATAAGTTTCTTGAGTTCAACTAAGCTATGCATTTCAAGTTAATAATTACAGATTTTGAAGTTAGCTTTTTGATGATTTTGATTTAAACTTAGCACTAACAGAATCTAATCGAAACGTCCCTAGTAGTAGAGGAATGCATTTCAGAAGAAAGAATACAATTTTGCGCTGCATTTGGCTAAGGAGAATATGAATACCAAGTTGGATTATCTCAACTCATATACAAGTACCTTTCGATCCAAGAGCGCTTGTGCAGACAGAAAGGTTAAATTCTCATCTCACCACACTGATCAAGAATATATGAACATAGTTGAGGTTCTTTATTGGCACTTCTACCCTTCCTTTTCGGGGTATATAAAAAATAGTCTTTCTGGTCGAAACTCTGGTTTAAAATTAATAATAATAAATCAATAATACCAATTTGACTATATTTTAAGATTCCCAAGCAAGTTACTTTATAAAAATTACACAAAATTACAATGATATGTAAGAATGTCTGTGCGGAGTTGTGTTTCAAAGTCGAGATTACTTCGGCAAAAAATTGAACCCAAGGTATTGTTGTAAGTTGTAAGTGTAAGATTATTATGCAGCTTTGTTTTTGCAAACAGCTTGAGCTCACAAAAATATGGTCACCCTATACACACGTACGAGTATATGTGAACTAACAGCTACAGATGGCTTGCAAAACATGGCGAACTAGCTTGCAGGAGGGCGCCTCCGCCATCACCACCGCCGCCATTGGTATCGCCAAACGCCGTAGTCTTCGCCTGCTGCAGCGCCAGTAATAAAATGCTTATGAAGTCATTTACATGCGCATTCAAAAAGCGTATTTATTTGCAATGAGTTCAACAACATCAACAAGCCAGCCAGCCAGCTAGTCAGGCAGTCAGGCAGTGAGGCAACGGAGGAAGGCAAGGCAAGGCAAGGTAAGGCCTGGGCGGTGGCATAGGCGGAGACAGGCGGACGGCATCGAAGGCAACCAGCAACCAGCAACCAGCAGGCGGCACAGCACACGCACACATAGTGCACGAAAACAAATAAATAAACGAGCACCACCTGCTGTCGTTAGCGTGCACTGCAAACATGAAGTTGGCGCTGCCGTTGCAGCCATGCAAGCCGCCCCCAAAGCCCCCAAAAGCCCACAAAGAGCGGAAAGTATAATTCTTGGTCTGGCAGTGTGGGTCGGATGGCAATGGGTTTTGCTGCTGCTGTTCCCATTGGTGGTGTACGTGGTTGAGTTGTGAGCTTAACACTCATGAGTTTTACTTTTTTGCATGCAGCAGTCAGTCAGACACGGCAGACAACGGCAAACTGCGTTTTGGCTCAGCTCCTGAAATTAGGCAGGCCAGTAATATGTAAAGTCTTGCATCAGTGTGGGTGAGCCCTGAGTGTCAATGTGTGTGAGTGTGTGTGGTAGCTAGGGGGATTGGTGTGTTTAGGGGCTTAGTAGCTGCATGGTGTGCATAAAAGTCGTTTTCTATTAGCCGCTTGATTGAGTTATGAACGATGGGCTGGCCTGCCTTGTATAGCCACAAATGTATGTTTTATGGCTTTAACTACACGTAAGTATGCCATTTAAATTTATTGTGCAGTTTTTAAAATGCATTTACATATAATGTAATCTGTTGCTTCTAAAGAAACCATGTTGAAGTTTTACCAAAAATTTATGAATGAAGTAAAAGCCAAACAAGTAATTATAGTGCGCTTGGAAAATAAAATGGCATAACTTGGCGTTTGTAGAAATTGGTGAATGGTTGTACATATATATGTTTTTGCAGAGTTATTTTGTTTTGAAGAACACCTAAGACACCTTCATGGTTCTCTTCGCGTACTAAGAGGCTTTAACACTATTGCTCTTCAAGCGTTATTCTACACCATAACAATTTTGTGTTTTAAATTTTATTCGACGGAAATAGTTTTGAAAGTTTTAATTCATTATAACGCGGGTATACTCACTGGAAAGTGTAAGATATACTCATATTTTATATTGATGTGGAAGTTTGCAACATTATGAAGCCAAATTGGCAACCACGATGGCAGACTATTTGTGTTTATTTTTTAAATCCTTTTAAACAACTCTCAGTCTCAGTGTAATTTAAAATAACTTGTTTCTTTTGTAATTTTATTTTAGACTGATAATATAATTTATTTTTAAAGGTTCTATTATTTTATAAAATTCCCAAATTCGTTTGTATGTACATGAATATATTAAATGTTAAAGATGAAATCATTTTTGGCGAAGTGAAAAACAATTCGCTAGAGAGTAGCGGCAGTTGGGCGAGGTGAGGAAAATTTTTCAACAAACAGACCGATGACCTACAAATAACTTAATTAGTTATCAAATTTCTGAGCACAGCTTACTCTTAGGAGAGCAGCGTCCACAGGAGAATAGAAGGACAGTGAACCTACTTCATTTTAAACAGGTTTACACCATTGGCATTACAGTATTATTTGGAGCATGGCTAACTAAGCTAAGTAGAGACATTCAGCAAATAAATTGCAAAAACTTATTACTTAAAATATACATAAAATATGTGCTGTGCTTTTAAGCTACATGCATTATTTAATACGAATCTTTAAAAAAAATCTCTCTATATTGCCGCAACAAATGAAAGCCACAAATGTTTGTGCGTACAATAAAAAAATATTTACTGAAACTTGATAAATATTTTGCTTAAAATATTAGCAATAGCTGGCAGTTAGATTCTACTTTGTTTGTCGTTGGTTGCTCTTGGCAGTTGCCTGTCTAAACCAACCTGTCAGGCTAAAATATAATATTGCAAATTTTCTAAATGTGTACATGTCGTATCTGCAAAAAGGGTCAACAAAGGCAAATAAATAACAAATTGGCTATCATTTCAATGTATACATAATTGGTTATTAGACTACAAAGCGCTATTGTATTGAGCGGAGCAGGATTGGTGGGAGGATAATAATACGCGACAAAGTTTTGTGGATGAATGAACAACGTCGATAGCTCGACTGCTTTATTTATATATAAATTCTTATCCTAGTTCTTATGCTATCGCCTACATACTATCATCGATTCCTTATCTTCTACCATGTGTGCGTACTTTATCAGGTAGCTCATGTTAGCCAGCCGCAGCATGCTCATCCAGCGCGGTGGCGAGCCTGAGCTAATGATTTGTGTACTTACACATCCTTATCTATTAAGCTGGCGCCTGCCAGCTACGAAAATGTTGGTGTTATGTTCGGCATCTAAGGCCGAACTCATTATTATCTGTATAAGAGAGCATGTCTGTTTATCGAGGTTTTATCTATAACAATATGATAATGTACCATTCGTGGTCTAGACAGAGCAAATCTAGCTTATCAATTAATTTACATTTACTTAGGATCTCGTTAGAATTGAACAGCTATTGTGATACATAGTATTTAGAAGAAGAATAATAAGAAATAGGAAATACAATAGCTAAATGGACTACCGTCTGCCCACATTCCTAGCTTAAAATAATAACAATAGGAAAACGATCTGCTGCTCCTGCTGCT